TCCCGAGGCACTGACCATTGGAAAGGAAAGATTTGAAGTTCGCGATGACTTTGTCATCGTGCTGCGAGTCTTGAGCAAAGAGGAGATTCAGGCTTATGCCGCAGCAACACAGGTATTGAGAGGTAAGCAGTAACCTTTGCAGCTGTGATGTCAGGTTTGGTGCTAACTGAAAACTGCAGAGCGACGCCGTACCAAGATTGAGGGAAAAAAAGAAGGGGACAATGATTATGGAAGGGAGCGTGATACTATGCGTGACGAAGCTGGCGAGGAAGACGAAGAGCGTCATCATCGCCACCGCCGACGCCGTGAAAGTGAAGAAGAGAGTGATGAGAAGGAACGCCACAAGAATCGTGACAGAGACCGTGATCGAGAGAGGGAGAGGGATCGTCAGCGAGAGCGGGATCGAGAGTCTGAACGTGAAGGTGAAAGGCAACGACACCATCGGAGAGATCAAGCGGATGACTACGACAACCGGGCACGAGACGACCATTATCATCACCACCATCACAACAATCACCGGTCGTTCAGAGAGCGAGAGCGAGAGCGAGAGCTGGAAGCGAAGAGTTAGGGAAATGGCGTTTCTGGGTGATTTACGATTCCCATTTATTTATTATGAACTGTCTTTTGGGTTATTTACGCAAGCATCTTGGCCACGAAAAATTAATAAAGGGGCAAAAAAGGCGTATGAGACGGGGCATTCGCCATGTATCAGTACCTTAATGCAATAGATTCACTTTCGCCCAGCTTGTGGAGGGTGTTGCACTCACTATGCTATTCCTCCCACTATGCAACTACGCTAGCTCTATCGAATTATTACGTCGTAAATAGCCAAATCTGGCTGCCATCTTTTTACCCGCCTGACACGATAAGTGAAACACGTATGCTTGCCTAAGTATCCCAAATCAGAAGCGGACACAGTCTGGTGCTTTGAGCGCCGGGTTACCACTCAAGTCAGAAGCTCTGCACCCCCCTTTTTAGCAGACGCAAAGCGCAATTGGCTCCCTGGACTTATGTCCGTATGCCCTATCATCGGCCGTGGCGGATGAAGTACTCGAGGTTTCTCATCTGCCACGGTGTATCAGTGGCGACTCTAGGCAGCTTGTGTACTGGAGGTGCTTATATAAGATTGAGCTCAATTTCGCCCTCTAGCTGGAGAGGAAGGGATCGAGGACAAGATTGTTCTCCATTGTCAGTATGGCTATTCCGGTAAGCTGCCTTCAGCATCAGGTGTGAGGTGCTAGATCCGTGAGGCTGAGGTGGACAGATATAAGTAGGGTTTGTCAGTGAGAAATACAAGTTGTCTCGGCCTTGAAAAGACCAAAGGTTGCCCCAATCATGCACTCCGGCTCGTCATACCTGCTGAGTTGTTCAGTTGTTGGCAAGTTTTGGTTCGAGCTGGCCGCATAGTACAACGTGCTTTGCAAGTCTTAGTTGGTATTTAAGATAGTTTTGACTACCTTCCTCCAAAAAAGGCTAGCAAAAGCCAATACAGGCCGTGTAGCTCAATGGTAGAGCGTCTGACTACGTAGCGCAGTATCCTTATAGTATCCTTACCCCGTAGTCAGAAGGTAGCAGGTTCGATTCCTGCCATGGCTAAATATTTTTTATTTTTATTCTCCCCCTCATAAGAGGAAGCTCGTAATTAATGATTAATATTATTATAAGTTAAGTTTTACTTTTTAATGCTCCTGCAACTGATTGCTCTCCAGATCCACCACATGCAGCCCGGGCTAGCCAAATGCCGATATAAACGTGGACATGACGGGGAGTTCGAAGACGTCACGGCGGTTTCGAGCCAGGCCACGAACAAGCAGCGTTATGTAGGGTCGCAGGCCCTTTTAGAGGGCTCTTACATAGTATTGCTTGTAGTATGCTTATGGTCATTCACCAGTAGTCCCTTCTATTTGTGTTTGTAAGGCTTGTATCGCATTAATGCCCTGGGCTTATCCCAGAATCCCCCCTTGGTTAACAGCCTCGGGGGTCGCTCTCATGAGAGAGACATGTGCCTATAATAGCATAGCCGTAATGGTCATGCCTGACTTACCTTCATTACTGATGAGGGTAGCATTACTCGGGTCTCATATCCAGGATCAGGAATTGCTCAAGTACGTGGCGGATACTCGGGAGTCGGGACCAGCAGAAACACAAAATCACGGTATTCATTTTTACATTGCATGAGGCGTAATTTCGAAAGACGTCAAAATCCCTATTGGTAGTAGTATTCCCGTTCTAGAGTTCTAACGAGTTCTATCTAAAGGAGCGTTTCGTATAATACAGTGTCCCAGTTGCAGTCTTTCCCAAAGTGCAACTCTACATCGCTCGCTACATGGTGTCGAGATATCCAGACTTGATGTTGCCAGGTTCTAGTCGCCAAACGACGATGCTATACGAACCACCGAGCTCAAAGGCGCCATATTCCAAAACAGACAAGACCAATAAAAACAACTCTAAAGGAACCCCAAAATCATGCTCTAATTGCTTCCATCCGCCCCTCAATCACCAGTAGGCGATGCGCACGCCGCCGATAGCATTGGCATAGGAAATCCAGGTCTCATCGCCCTGGCCAACGATTTCAAAGGCCTCGGTCTTGCCGGGCTTGCAATCCTGGGGAACCGAGAGCCCCCCATAGGTCGCCTCCCAATCAGCCCACGAAGGCGATGACGAAGGCGATGGCCTCTTCCAGATACCTAGTTGGTTATTGCGCTGGTTCCCGGGACCCCAGTCGCTGGTCGCGCCACCCGGAGCAGGTTTGAGGCTGGAGAAGATGGCGAGCTTGTCAGTGCCGCTCCAGGATACCGAGTCATATTTGAAGTACAGGGCGCATTTCTTGTTTGCCGTCGCCATGGGGTATTCAAAGGTCATGAGGGTGGTCTTTTCGTGGACGGCCCTGCCCTTCTCTACCACGGCATTCGTAGTCTTGGGCCCGATGGCACCGGTGAAGACATCGTAGACGTATAATGCCGTTGGGGCGATGTAGACGGAGCCAGAGGGAGGCTCGGAGCGGGCTTCAAGGGGAGCTGCGAAGGCAGTTGTGGCCAGGGCAGTGACGGCGAGGATCGTCTTGGTGAGCATTTTTGATGGACTGGTTGAGATGGCTGGATGATTGTGTTGATGTATGGAAGCTGAACTGTGTAGGACAGTGATATATGAAACAGTGATGAGATGGGGAGGAAAAGAAGGAATCTTGCCCATGAATACACCGGCTTTATATAGTCATTATCAGGATATTATCTACATGTCCAGACCTGATGTATTCCCAGTCCAGGATTACAGTTCGCAGCACGCGCCTCCACGGTGGCCCAGAAATAGAGTCACGGATAGAGAGAAAATAAGCTCCGCCTTCTCGTCACGGCACTTGCTACGCCTTTGAAGGGCTGTTTCCAGTACCTGGTTAGTTCGTTTCAACGTTCCAACTCCCTACCCTTCTTGGCGTCCTCCAGAGAACTGGCGTCTCGACTGTAACCAATAGACTGCCAGCGAGGTTGGAGCATTGGCAGACTCTCGAAAGCCGTGGTAAGGCTGAATGGCTCAATGAGTACAACAGCAAACTATCTTGGAAGCTGTTGATAGACAAATGGGGATGGCGGCGTTGAAGTTTGGTGGAGGCGTTCGAGGGCGAAGCTGTGTGGCTGACGGGCCCATGATTTCGATGTCATTGATGAATTATCGACCAGGTCGTAAGCTTTGGCGAATAAGCGCAAGATGCAGCAAGTATGAGTGGCTGAATGGCTTGAAGGGCTCTGTTCCCTCTGGCATATGCGGCTGAACCCCTTTTCCTCGATGGGATTATGCTTGGGGCCAAATGTGCGGGTGGCACGGCGATGATCTCGAATAGAACGCTCAATCATTGTTGTGATGGCGCAGCAGGGCAAAGTGCCACCGGCAGTCTAAAGTCTCGGGACTGCAAGTTTCCGAAATATTCTGTCAACTCTAGATGGTCAGAGTCGGCTGCCTCCCTCTGATGTGTGCGGTTCCTTGGGGCCGGCGACAGTTTCTTGCTGGTGGAAGCAGGCTGGCCCAGATAGTGTGAGGGAGCAAATCCGTAAGTGAGAACACATATTCCCATTGCCCGCATGTTTTGATCATGCTTCCTATGGTGGTTTCGGCGGCCTCCGTCCAAGACCGTCATGGAAAATACGGCAGCTGACTGTAATCCTCCCACACCAACCTTGGGTTCCCTGTTCTCCAAGATTGGGCACCATTGCCTCCATTTCTGAGCCAAATGAAAACTTGCAGCCATGGCCTTGGGCTGTTTTGTATTGTGTGGTCATCTGTGTAATGAGAGGCTCAGTTGTTGCTGTCAGTAGCCCCATTCCGTGATGGAATCCTATATCAATGTATATATGTTTAACACCAACTCACATATAACTGTAGCTGTATCTTGTCATCCGTCCGTTAAGTAAACTGATAGGACATTGTCGTACTGTCTCGCAGACCGGATGGCTACGAGGTGCAGTGGTTGGCGAAGCAGAAGGCTCAGGGCCATCCAACTCGTCTCCGGGGTTCAGTGCTGCCATTCCTCGATACACAGATAGCGTATATCTTGAAATATGAGTCGGGATGAAAGCGTACTCAAGGACGGCTCCGGATGAGAAGCCGTAAAGCTGGGACCGCGATGTCTCGAGATGAATAGTTTAGTGAGCATCGCCCGTTGGCGACCACGAGTACTGCATGTCGTAGAGCAGTACTCGTGCTATCAACCCTATTCTTGTAGAATCGCGAGGTCATGGGTTTCCAAGCATCGTCAGGATTGTTGGGAGCTGTGTAAGGCGTCAATACGTACAGTTTCTGCGTTGTCGCAATGCAAGTTAGTGTCTGATTTCCGCCATCAGAATGACAGTCTATTTAGCCTCGTTGTTTTTATATATTTCGGCCATATTTTAAAGTCTCAGGGTAGAATGCAACTCAATTGTCATTCGTAGGATCCGTGCCTTGGAATTTGCTCTCCCCTCCTCTTCCCTGAGACCAGCGCAACTGATTAATTACCCACCGCCCATCCATCACAGCTTTACAGAAACATCGTACATATCCAAGAGGACGGCAAACCCCGTCACAGCACCCATGTACCCCAACAGCACGGCCATTGTCACTGACGGACCGACGTCCAACGTCCTGACCGTCATATTCACCAACCCCGTGAGCAGGTTCGCCACCAAGAACACCGCCAGGCCGTTCCTGTTAAACGCTCTGAGCACCCTGCTCGTGGCAAATTCATTTGCCTCCCTTTCCGTCCTGCCATCGGTGGCATTGTAAGTCGCCGGGAAGAAAACGGTGTCGATGAGGCAGCACGCAAAGATCTGGATTGTGTTGAAGGACGCCACCCACAACACGTAGGGGAGGTTCGCGAGCCGGCGGGAGACGACGAGGCCCAGGCCGAACGAGTAGCCGGTGCAGAGATAGTACAGCGCGGACCAGATGGCAGCCCAGACGGCAATGGTCATGAGCAGCGTGTTGCGCTGCGTTCCGGGCGTGGCCTTGCTGCGCGGGTTGATGGCGCGCGGGATGATGAACATGCCCAGGTCTTGGCCAGCCAGGAAAATAGCCAGGTAGCCGAAGAAGCTGAATATGCCCTCGCGGTTCATGGAGAGCAGGTCCGTCCGCGGCGCGGTGAGGATGTACGCCTTGAGCGCCGTGTTTTCGAGGAGCACCTCGTACACGCCGCCGACGAGGAGCGCGAGCGCCGCGTACGAGGGCACATATCGCAGGACGGCCTGGAAGGCGGCCACAAAGGGCGGCAGGAAGCCCAGGGTGAAGAAGAAGTTCCAGTGGACGCCGTACTCGGTGACGTGCTCGGCGTAGTCGAGCCCCTTGACGCTGAGGAGGCGAATGACGCCCAGCACCAGCAGCGGGGCCGAGTGCCTGGCCGAGTAGACGAGGCGCTTGACCAGCGACATGCTCTTCCCCGAGGCTCGCTCCTTCAAGACGGGCCTCGCGGCGACCACGCCCGCGGTGAAGACAAACGATCCCACGCCCATGTCCATCAGGCTCGTCCCCCACGTCTCTACTTTGGCGAAACGCCGCGGAAACAGGCGAAAGTCAACGGCCAGTATGCTCACGCACGTCATCACCATCATTGCGCCGCGGTACGACGTGAGGAACGGCTTGGCCGGCAACACGTCCAGCGGCCGCGCCGCGTTCTTGTCATCCCTCGGAACAATCGGCTTCTTTTTGCGGGCCGTCTGCGCGGGGAGCATGTACACGGATGCCACGGGCGCGAGGAGGAAGAGGATCAGGAGGACGGGCGTGCTGGCGTAGAGCGTCGTCGCGAGGAGGAATGCGCCCACGCAGAGGAGGAAGTCGACGGCATAGGAGAGCGGCGTGTACGGCCTGAAGAAGGATTGGCGAGCTTGGAGGGCAGACCACAGCAGAATAGCAACCTATTTTGTTTTTCATGGTACATCTTGTCAGCAAAAATGGATGCTATAGCCTGGGACACGCTCAGAAAGCACGGAGGGAACGAACGGGTACAACGGCCGTGACGGCAGCTATCTCGGGCACGGAACCGCCCGAGAGGTTGGACACAAAGTCCTCCTTTTGCTGTTTGTAGCTCTGCTTGGACATTGCGCCGGTGCGTTAAAGACGCATTATTACAGAGAAAGGGGACAAGGTGGTGGTGGCCGTGGCGCGCAATGGCGGTTGAGGACAGACTGTTTCTTTCTTTTGCGGATTGCTGGTCTTGACTGCCCCTTCAGCCTCGTGGTGTTGAGGCGTCAGTAGCTCCATGCGCGTCCGGTGTGGGGTCACTTCGCACCGGGCCTAAGCTGGCCAATGACTAGCTGTGATGGGGGTGTTTCTGTGGCGCGGGAGGGGCCGTGTGGCTGGGCAGGATTGCGTCCACGTACTCCGTACTGAACGGCAGCACCATTTAGGGTTGGTGCTTGGCAGTCGTCGACGGCGCTCCTGGATTGTATATCAAGGCGGAAATTGGTATTAGTATTGGGGTCTAATTGCTATATTGATATTGTCCTTTTGCCTTTACAAAACCAAGTGGTGGAGCCGTGGACCCAATTCGGGGTTCCTTCTGGGGTAAAGGTGCACAAACTTGCAAGGCGCAGGGTCTCAAACCCATATCTAGGGCTACGACCAGGTACTATTAACTGCTTCGTCGCACGGAGAGATTTACATAACATTCTGTGCCATTTACAAACTACTTCGCGATATCTCGTTTCGGTGATTAGCTGGCCGCATCGTCCATCAAGTTTCTCAGCATTAACCTCTCACTATTTAAACATGCATGTGTACCCAACATAGATGTGCTTCAAGCCTCACCGTCTCCCATGACGAGAACACGGTGCTAACTGCAAACCCTCACATTCCGGACAATCAAGTCGCATGGAAAGACACTAGTCAGCTCGCATTATACGGCATGCAGCATCTTGCCGGTCCATCTCGGCACATGGGTGCTAGGCAGTAGGGTCACTAGCCATGGTCCTTGTGGTCTCCCTCTCAATCCCGAGACCAAGCTGAGCCTACATACAATACAGTACATGCATCGGAGTACTCTCGGGTAGAGTCAGGCCAAGCTTTTTCCAAGAAGATGCATTTCTGCAGGGCCTGTGCGGGCCTACCACACCAACGCGATTCAGGAAGGGGGTGTTGATGGAGAATACACGACGCGCGGGCGGTGGTGGAACTGGCCACCCAAGCCCGATGTGCTCCATGATGCCGCATGTAAAGTTGAGTATGTATTCTATTTCTTACTTGGGATGAAGCCCTTGGCGAAACACGGCAAGGTGAAAGCACACACACAAGCCCACTGCTACTTATGCCGGTGTGGCCTGGAAATGCTCAAAATTTCGTGTCTTCTTGCTGCAGATAGATAATTGTCCCTTTCTTTGTGGGCCATGGGCATCAATACTCGGCCGGTATATCCCTATTCTGGAGGCGTTGGTTCCTCCTCTTGTTTGCTGTTCCCTCCAATACAATCCGAGACAAGCAGACTTGGTATATGTATATGTGTATACCTACACACTCCGTACCTACCAAGTATGTAGGTACTAGGTAGGTACAAACCTTGCCGAGGTACTCGAGTACCAGATGTGCTCCGCACAGAGCGCCGGTTTTGTTGCCGGCACGGCATCTGTGGCCTTTGGTTCGTCGTCTAGCACTGTGATTTATCATGTTCATATTCCGTAGCATCCAATATCATTTGCATGCAGCCAACATGTCTTGCTGTGATGGGTTAGAGGACCAAACTCCCTCGCATGTGATGCCACTCCCCACCTATTGTGCCAAGACAACCGACTGTTGCGCTTGGATAAGAGGAAACGAACCAGACACGCAATCGAATGATGGCAAGGACGGCACCACCTCGACATCTTGTCGTTTCTGACAGAATTTCAGCTTCGCAAGCACTGGCCCTGGCCCTTGAGCTGGACGGCACAATCAACATTGACGGGTCTGTTTGAGTTGCCCTACTGCGGAGACAGCTCTTGAGATCTTGAGCTCGTGAGTCTTCGTGAGCCGAGGGCACATACCTTGGGCCAGCATAGGTATAATCAAGTCTCAGGCAACCCCGGGCGTGAAACCGAGGGTTTTTCTGCATGGCCAAATAAATAGTTCGCCATTTTCCCCTCTGTGCTCCTGGGCATGGTTATGAATACCCTCTTCTTGTACAAGTCCATTGGCCAAATTGCCGGGCATCTGCGTCGGGGTGTACCGCATACAACACGTCTCTCACAACCATATAAAGCCGCTGAGCCGATAAATCTGAGCCCGCCAGAGACAGTGTGTGATTTCTATGCGCTCCACAATATTTGGTAGACATTTTCTTCATCTCACGCCAGCATTGCTGAGTCGCAAAAGTTCACGGCTGGTACTGACACCTTCCAAACGCGTTGCAATGAGCGTCATACCTCTCTGAAGACGACAATGAGTTCGCAGATTGACAATGCGGCTACTGCGGCTGCCACGGTTGCCGCGGCTGGCCACTGCCGTGCTTCGCGGCGTTTCAACCGAACGATTCTGTCATAGCATTGGGGCTAGCCTAGTCCCGCATCAACATTTGCGCAAAGAGGTTTTGTCGAATCCCTTTTGGGAAAAAAAAGAACCAATGCATTAATCGGCTGCACCAGATAGTAAACAATTTTTCTTAGCCAATCTCATCACGACGCACAGCTCCTAGAACAGGTGTGAAGCGTTTGCACTTTGCTGTCGACACAGAGGGTGCTGCCCAGGCACAGTGAAATCGAGATTGTAAGCACTATGGTCTTTGCAAAAGGTCAATACAAAACCTTTCCAATCACGGCCCGTTAAAATGGCAAGTAGATCCCTGCAAGCTCACCTTCTGTTAGCGATGATAGATCCGTGTCTTCAAGGGCGTGCATGGGAACACCATGACCAGCCTACTTCCCCACATTGCGATCTGGCCAGGAATCGCGCAAAGACACAACGGAACCCTGGCGTCAGCAGAAATTAGCCTGAAAAGCCTAGAGTTGAATGAAAATAGTCCGGGTCGGCGCACACTTGTCCTGCAGACTAGTAGAAGTGACTCTTGGTATTTTTGCCTTGTTGTCATGTCTCAGGACGCTTCCATCCAGACTCTCACGAGGATACCTGGTAGCAAGCCATTCTCCTTGGGTTTGCTTTTTTTTCCTTTGCCGATGCCCCAGATCCGATTGCAGCCTCTTGTGCCGCTTTCCTACTTGGGAAGTAAGTTAGGATCAAACGCTTGCTTTTTGTTCGCTTCGTCCCGAGCTTACAAAGTCTGCAGCGGCTGATCTGACACTCCTGTGCTCCGTACTGGTGCGAAGGCGTAAATGGCCCACAGAAACACCAGGTGGCCATGAAAGTGATACTTCGTCTTCTTGCCCGGAACGAAATGGCTCAACATCTTGTGGAGATGTGCCACGCGAGCCATCGGCTTTCCACCTTGGACGGAACGGCGCCTATAGATTCGCTCAAAGGTAAGCGCTATATTACTGTTAAATGCGGACCCAATAGTTCGTATTGTACAATATTAAATGGATGTACGGGAGTACGTACAATAATTCGAGCACACGGCTCGACAGAATCTGTGTGTGGGGGGAGTGGTTTCGTTCTTTTTTGTCCTGATTAGATTCGAGGCTACCCAGCGCTTCTGTTGGCCACCGATTCAGTCGAAGCGCCCTGTTGAGTTACAGGCGTCAAGTTGCCTCAAACCATGCCGCATTTGAAAACCACCGGAGTTCACATTAAATCGAGACAGATTGGACGACGATCTATCTTTTTTCGACCTGGACAGCTTGTTGCCCGGGGTAGGCGCGGGCCAGAGCTCCCTGTCACCTGTCCGACTACCACTCGAGTCCATATCATGGGTTTTCCCAGTAGTCTCTGCGCACACGGACACTGTCCACAGTTTCTGGCTGTAAACGCACAGAGGGTGGAGGATCCCCAGCGGCAACGAGCTAGGGATGACCCGTTTTGAGATGTCTGCCGGGGGTGACGAGGGTGCTCCGTACTGTGAGCAATGTACTGTGAAGATATTATGGGGTAGCTGTTTGGTGGAGGAGGACGATGTGCCCATCACGAGAGCCAAAGGTCGCGGCGGCCAAACAATCTTGCTGCTTACGTACCATCGTGTAATGGCGCCATTTGAAATCAAGCGTCGTAACTTTGAGCCAAGTGGCCTTTAAGAACAAGTCCAGTGACTAGTCTAACCTGTGGCTAGCCGCAGCCCGCAACGGTCATCGGCCGCCTCCGCCTGTCTCGGTCTTGGGACGCCGCTGAGGAAGTTATTGACTTGCTCACGGCCGGGGAACAGGGCAGTAATAAGGACTCGCCAGGGAGCATGGGCCATCTCTCGAAACCCGATGCCCGCTGGCGGACGCGTCGTCCAATGGGCACCTGATGGGTCGCATTTGCTTGGAGCCGGTTCAGAAGTCAGTACGGAGTATCCGGCATCGAAATGCGCTGGGAAGCAAAAGAGTTCGATAGAGCCCTTGTAGAGGAACACGGGGGCTTATCGGAAGGGGTGTGGAGAGGGAAGGCTGGTGGTGAGGGGGAGAGACAAGGGTCAGGGGGCATGACCGCATGGGGCAACGAAGGAGGGGGCGTGTGCATCCACAACGGAGAGACACATCTCGACATGTCGACATCTGGGGCAGCAAATTGTCTTTCTGTTATTCTCCGTCAACGAGTCCCCTGGTCCTCATCCCCATCTGCCTCCAAGCTCAGGGTGCAAGTACCCACCTCCCCTCCCCCAACATCGCGAGAGCTCGCCGACCATGGAACTGGTTTCGATTCCCCCAGGGGCCATCTGTGCGGCGTCTTCATCGTGGATCAGAGCCTGCCTTGCCGCATCTTGTAGCCCGTTCCTTGTCGAACCGTCTTCTCCTGGTTGTTCTCCTTCTCCGTCTTCCCCATACCGCGGTGGACCTGCATCTACTCTTCTGCACGACCAAGACGAACTGATTTGGGGTGAAACCCCTGCTTGAGTAGAAATGCTCATTCGACTGTCTTTTTTTTAAAAGGTCTAATTGAGCCGTCCACATCCCGTATTTGCACTTTGGCGCAATGCATCAAGGCGTAAACACGACAGTCTTGTACAGCAATAGAGGTCCCCGAAACCTCCTCGACTCTTC